AAGGCTAAACAGTATCTTCAAAAAGCGCTTGTTATCACAACTGAAATTGGTTATAAGGAAGGGAAAGCAGCACATCTTACAAACCTTGGAGGAGTGTCTAGAATTGTTGGTGATTATGAAGCTTCGGAAGTATGCTTGGAGAAAGCTTCATTCATATCCAGAGATATTGGAGATGGAAGAGAAGAGTTCGAAATACTTCGAGAATACGCCATTTTGTATTTATTGCAAAATAAAATCAAAGACTCTCTGTCGTGTCTTCATCTGTGCATTGAAAAGTATGAGGAGCTGAGAAATTTTTTAGGCGCCAATGATGAGTTCAAAACATCATTGCTGGAGCACTCAGGAATATTTCCCTACAAGCTGCTTTGTATTTTGCTCTGTGACACCGGAAATGCTCGGGATGCTCTCTATGTCGAGGAGTTGGGTCGAGCTAGAGGCCTATCAGACTTAATGGCAGAGAAGTACTCGGTTGAAACGCATATCTTTGCTAATCCACAATCTTGGTTTGGCATTGAGAACATTTTAAGAACGAAAAATAACTGTACTTGTCTGTATATTTCTTATTTTCAGAATCTTCTGCATTTTTGGATCTTGAAAACAAGTGGAGTCCTTCACCATAGAAGAATATCAGTAGAAGAGAATCTAGTTCAGGCTGGGTTGCCCAAAGATTTGTCTTTGAGTCAATTTTTGGATGATAATTTCCGGGGTCTTGGTATTTTGCCTACTAAAGATTGTGAAGATCGGTCTTTAAATACGATTAACGTGCAACCTCTCTCCCCCGCACAAAAGAGCTCAGCAAGATTGCGACTCGTCGAGGAGGACGAGGACAAGGAAGTTATTTCAAGTCTACCTTTGTGTTACAAAATGTTTATCGCTCCCGTTTATGATTTGCTGGAGGAGCCTGAAGTCATCATCGTTCCTGACCGCAGTTTGTACAAAGTTCCATTCGCTGCACTGAGTGAAAAGGAGGGAGCCGAATACCTCTCGGAGACTCATAAGATCCGTGTCATTCCTTCCTTGACAACACTCAAGATCATTCAAGATAGTCCAGAGGACTATCACAGCAACACTGGTGCCTTGATAATAGGCAATCCCAAGGTTAATGGGCTGCCGTCATTGCCATTTGCAAGAAAGGAAGCGGAGATGGTTGGACGACTGATGCGTGTTCCGCCTCTGCTAGAAGAGAAAGCAACGAAGCAGGCGGTGCTTGAGCAGATAGGTTCAGTGAGCCTGATACATTTTGCTGCCCATGGCAACGCCCAAAGAGGAGAAATTGCCCTCTCCCCCATTCCTATTCCCAACAGTCAAAATGCTATCCCACCACAGGAAGCTTACATGTTGACGATGGCTGATGTCTCACGAGTGAAAGTTAGAGCTAAACTGGTGGTACTTAGCTGCTGTCACAGTGGAAGAGGTGAGATAACAGCCGAGGGAGTGATAGGAATTGCCCGTGCGTTCTTAGGATCTGGTGCTCGCTCGGTGTTAGCTGCGCTGTGGGCCATTCCAGACTTAGCAACGGAGCAGCTGATGAATCAGTTCTACAAACACCTTGTTAAAGGAGAAAGTGCCAGTGAATCCCTTCATCAAGCCATGAAGTGGATGAGAAAAAACGGCTCGAGAAAAATGTCTGAGTGGGCTTCGTTTACGCTGATTGGAGATGATGTGAGGCTCGAGTTTGACAAGCAGAGGTAAGACTCGGTCAGAACAGGTATTTCATAAATGAAAGTTAAATTAGATGTCAAGGTGGCTTTGACTTACTGGTCGTTGACTGTCGGCGGGAATCCTTTGTCACCATGAATGCCAAAGCTACTTTTATACCATTTTTTTTGGTTTCTTTCAAATAGTAACAATTGATTCTCCCAATTAGATTTAAAATATATAATCTAGAAAGCGCCTTTCTGCCGATCAGATACAAGTACACATTTGCCTACATATTGCGCCTGGTATAACTGTTTATTTATAATTGTTTTTCTTCTTTACGTTTGTTGTAGGAAAGAGGATGAGAATATCTCGAAGGAAACAGACCTTAGAGACTTTTAAATGGATGAACAAATAGAACGAGTTAAAAAAAAATTCTATCAGTTCTTTTTATTGTGTAATTAAAGAATGGGCAATCTTCAATTAGGCATATTAATTATAATTTTTTTTTGTTTTCTTTTCCGATCTTCTCAGAAGGAGGTATTGGTTACGTATTCGAGAGAGATTTTATTCTGCGCAAAAATGATCTTATCAGGCCGATATAAGTAGCACGAAACATTATTGACGAAGGGCTCTTAAGTAAAGTGAAATCAGGAAAGTTGAAACAGTAGTTTAAGCATCAAAAATGAGCCAGTTGTCTTAAAGGGTTTTCTCTCAAAGCCTTTGATTTTTTTGTTATAGGTTTCGTTCACAGAATCCTAAATTTTTGACAAAAAGTCCTAAAAGAAAACCTTTCCTTATGGTCATTTCCAGTACCACATTTTAGTACTTAAAAGACTGAAAAATACATGGATTTCTAAATAGGACCATGGAAAAAGCTATCAAAGTCAAGAATGGTATTACTAAAAAGTGGAAAAGTTACGGCAGCAATATTTTGAAACTGGTTCAATAAGTCACTTACGCATCGTAATGTTTGATACGTTTTAATTTTTTCATGGTGATTTAATCGTTTTCAAGTCAGGTTATTGTCAGAAAGTTGGTTTGAGAATAAAAATATTCTTGTTTTTACCACACTTATATACACACCTCTTTTTTGGGAAACTTTCCTAAGGGATTATGTAGTAATTCCGAAGACGCTAATAGAAAAGAAAGCTTGAGAGAAGTCTTAGAAAATATCGTGAGCGTCTGTTTTAACCACGTTACAGAGTAAAACAGAAAGCACTGTTGTTCATTGTTCAGGCGTGCATTTCTCTGATCGTTTCTCCTCCAACCATGTGACTTGATTCTCGTCGTACAATCAAATAAATTCTGGTGATGAAGTTCTGGTGATCAGCATTCCAGTGTCAAATAGTAAACCTAATACATGTATCACTAGATATAGCGTCAAATTATCGTATTATAGGAGCCAAACGAGTTTTTCATCCCTACATTTGATGCAAATGACATTAATTTCATTCTTGAGGCATGAAAAAGTAATTGCATGCACGACAAAAGGCTCGATCATGTCACGTTTTCTTGATATGGTGTCTTTCTCGTCTCCTTCTTTAGCTATTTCTAAGGGCGTTTAACATCACACTAATTATTCCGAACGTTAATATACCTGAACTATGAGTATCAGTGCATGAGGAATTCTTATTCCTACCCCAACCTACTCGTCCCAAACCCCTTCCGTCCTCCACTTCGCTCTGCTTAAAAAAGGAAATTAAAGAGATGGATTCTGGCCAGTTTTGTTCGGAAACCTTTCTGTGAGTTATGTTTCTTATGAATCAAGAACATCGATCATTCCTACCCCAACCTACTTGCCCCAACCTCCCTCCGTCCCCCACTCCGTTCTGCTTCAAAGAGCGCATATAGTAGTAATCAGTTTGCTGGATAAATTTTTTATTCCTTTTGCTCTCGACCAATAAGCCCGCAACAGTTCTCACAGTTATTTTAAAAGCTTTTAATAAGAAATTCCTGCGCAAAATTTTGAAGTCATTCTGAAATTTTGTAGGTAACTGGCTTTTCTTTCTGTTCTGGTAGTGTTACGCTTTTTCTAGACCATGAAACGTTACTGTCAAGTGCAATTTCATGGGCATTTTACTTTACTTCCAATGGACAGAGGCGTAAGTAAAAAGGAATTTAGCAACGGTGCTTAGCAACAGTTAGGTGAATATTTCCCATATAAGGTGATTCGATATATGAACTGATTACCTGAGGTAAGTGAAAAAATTAGAACACTAGAAACAAAATATCCGGAGGCTGAAATTTGAGAGTGTGTCCACGAGAGCACCAGGCAGTCTTGCTACATGCCATCTCACTGGTTTCAATGAAACTTTGCCAGTTTAAAGGGTCTACCCCAAAACTCAAACAGGCAAACTGGTTTCCGGTTTTGGTTCTTTCCGGGGGAAGGATAGACCACCTCCTAGTTTCTCTCGTTTTCACCGGGGAAATCGCTTTAAAATGGGCAAAATGTATGAAGCTCTCACTGCGATGCAACAAAATTTGAGAGGGGGTCAATGTTTAGTGACAGTAGGAGACAGACAACTCTGAAACGTCATGTAACTGTCAAAGAGTTTACACTTCTAGTAATATATTCCCCTTTCTCGCAACAGCTCAGCAGATAGTATTGATCCTATGCAGTGTACATGTATCAGTTGTATTGCGTCCTCATATTGATGCTACCTAAGTGAGCGAGTGTCTAAAAATCCCTCAATTCAACCTAAAACTCGAATTGACTTACTAGCCAGGTGGACCGCTTTGGATGGGCCCTTTGGAAAACACAAAAAGCTTATGCCTTTTTCTCAGAAAGCAAAGAAGTATGTTCTAAACGTGTGCCGGACAGGGGAGGAAACTAGTAAGAAGTGTGGCTTCTCAAATATGGAGTTTAAGAGACGACACCAGCCAGAAATGTTGTATAGGACAGACTGGTTGATAGAGCAGCAGATCGCTTGATACTTCAGCCGAACATCTGCCTTGACAAAAGCTGGTTTATTGAAGAGGTTTTCCTCTGTAAGTATGAATAAGGACGAAGAAGTTGATGCAGATGATCTAGTTTCAGAAACTGACCGAACAATCAGAAGGGACCTTGAAAAATTTAGACGAAGACTGCAAGGGAGGGTACAGCTGGCAGCTGCCACAGGCTATAAAAAAAATACAGACTTTTGCATCTCACTTTCCTCTCAAACTTAGCGTCTGTACCCATGAAAACAACTGGATATGTCCTTGGGTTTTTTCATCACGGGAAATTTGCAGGAAGACTACTGGTCAAAATATTGCTGGCTCATTCTTCGAGTCACGCAATAGGCCTTATTCGTATTCCCGGACGGCCTTGGGCGAGTGCACGATGTCGAGGCTCATGCGGGGGAATCTGTGATTTCAATATGGCTTTCGTAGGAGGGGCAGAGAGTGAAGTTCAAAAATGGAAAGTTCCTGAGTTGAAATCGTATTTACAGAGCCGTGGAATAACTGTTTCGCAAAAGAGAAAGGAGGAACTAGTAGAATTGGTGGAGAAGGCTCGCGATCTTTCACTGGAACCGATAGACGATTGGGAGAAACCGGAGGATGTGATAGTCAACAAGTTGCAGACGAAAGAAGGTTCGCTCCCCTGTCCTAACACGTTACACTCTGACTGGACTTCCGACTTTTCTGATTTTCCGAACTTCACATACGGTGATATGTACGCTTACTTAATCAATAAGGAGGGTTATGACCACGAGTCTCTCAAGGCATATAAGTCGTTCGAAGGCTACCGCCTGTTCTGGGATGGCCATGTGTTAAAATTGATGAAGAACAAGAACTTGTTCAATGGATACCACTACGTTAAATTTGGAGTAAAGCCAACGGAACGAGAGAAAACGCAAGTCGGACAGAAACCAACTTACGATGGATGGATAATAATTCAGTCAGATGGATCAGTTTACACAGCGCATTGCCCTTGTATAGGAGGGTGTGTATTCTGCTGCCTCGGCTAATATTTGGCCATCTTAAAAATGAATTTGATTTATGTATGTGTTAAATGATAAATCCAGATTGATCTGTTCAACTGACACAATGTTGAAGTGTTAATGAAAATAATAATTTGCAGCTTTGCGAAATTTTGTACTTCGTTTCCAAATTGTTGAAGACATCTTTATACTATGCCCAAGTGTATGTGATCTCTATGGCTTTCAGAATAATTTCCTTTTATCTAGTATTCAAAACTTTGACTCTGGTCATCACAATATATCTGTTGAAACTTTTCTTAATTCCTAATTTCTTGATCAGGGCTGATGGTGCTTGCCGGCACATTGGTGCCTCGCTTATTGACCTTGAAGCTACACTGAGAGAAAATGTTGTAATAACTTGCACAGGGAGAAAGTGCACTTGGAAACAACGGAAGAGGACTCATGAGGGCATGACAAAAGGATCAGCCATGGATTTTACAAAACCCACACTGAACAAAGAGAAAAAGAAGCGACTAAAACCAAGGTGTGATACTTATGACCCCAGAACTTCATATGATACGAATGTAAATTTGGCTGAGAATTTTAGAAAGCTTGTTGCTGAAACTGTTCCTTCAGCTGTATTACTGCATCTGTTACCTGACCCAGACACATGTAATGGTCAACATCCTCAACTTGATTCAGAAAATGTAAATGACATAAGAGAGGAAAATTCAATTGTTACTACATTTACATTAGATTCTTTATCACCAATGAAACCTTTGCCACCCAGTCTGGATGAGATTAAAGAAAGGGCAAGGCAATAAAAAGAAAACTTCAGTTTACAGATGATGAAATTGATGCAGTGGAAAAAAACAAAACTGCAGAGTGATGCCATTGACTGGTTTCAGTACAGAACAGGAAGAATCACCGCTTCTCATTGTAAACGTATTGCAAGCTTGAAATTAACCACATCTCCAACTAAAGCTTTAAAGGAAGTTTTGAGTTACAACCAAGTGCCTTTAACAGCTGCCATGAAGGAGGGCTTGGCAAAGGAGGATGAAATTGAACAGGCACTAATAAAATACATGAAACAGAATGGACATTCTGATATAAAAGTCGAAAAGTGTGGATTTGTCATTAGCAAGACCCATGGACATATTGGTGCCTCTCAGATAGAATAATATATGATCAGTCTGAGTCTAGCCCAGGTGTGGTTGAGATGAAATTTCTTCAGGTGAAGTCAGGGGAAACCCTTGAAGATATTTTACTGAAACAGCATATTTGTATAAAAAGAAGCAATGGTATAGCCCTTAATAGAAATCATAAATACTTTTATCAACTACATCAACAAATGTTTGCAACAACGTATCCCTGGGGCATATTTGTTGCTTGTGGCAGGATGGTGGTATTTATGTTGAGAAAGTGTTGTTTGATCAAGAGTTTTGGTCTCCAGTGCTAGTTAAGCTGGATTCATTTTTTGACTCGGTCATTTTACCAGAACTAGCTTTTCCAAAGGTTAAATATGGTCAGAACCGTACAGTGTTATATAGTACAGATAAATAAATATACATATAATGTAGAAACTCAACTTCCAAATATGAACCTTTCGTGACATTGAGCCTATGTAAATGCATAACTATTCCATTTATACCTAGTATAGTAGCTACTGTAAGGGGTTACATGCTCATTGTTTTTTTTTAGTTCGATCAAAAATCATATGATTTATACAGACATAAGAAAATTATTTAGACATTTACTTTGAAACAAGAGGCTTCATTAAGTTACACAGTGCTGCACATACAAACACAGTCTGATCAGCAACTGCAGCAAGGGTGATAGGTATCACTTCACGTAAAATTCGGAAACACTTGAGCCGCTGGATTGCTCTTTCCACATGTATGCGAACTGCAGCTATTCTCCTGGTTTTTGTACATGCCTTTGTTGAAAGGGACTTCCCCTTTGCAAAGGGGGGAATGTTTAATGTGGCCTTTTTCTTTGTGACCATATCTCTAATATTGAATCCTCTATCAGCCATCACATCATCTAGAGGTTCCAGCTTGTCTATCAGTCCAGATTTCTGAGTTATATTTCGGTCAGAGACCCCACCAGACCAAAGTTTAGAGACAAATGTGAAGGCTCCAGTGGGTGAAATACCAACCAAGAGTTTGAAAGTGTTATGTGACTTGTAATCACTCCAAGTAATTTTCTGAGCTGAAGGTTGAGTGGACTTCTCTATAAAAAACTCTGTACAGTCAATAATTACACGGGTCCGAGGATACCTACTAAAGCTCTTAGGCATGTGCTTTTGAATTTGAACCTTTGCAGGCCATATTATAAGAACTTCCTTAAATACATGATACAAAAAAGATTAATCCAAGTTGTAAAAATCTTGGAAACTGAACTTTGTGAAATTGCAAAAATGTCTGCCAGGTGACTCTGTAACAGTCCAAGCCTGAGTCTTATAAGAACCATTAAAAATTCAGAAAATAATGGCATCTGCCTCTTTGGTCCCGGCTTGTTAACATGTTCATCTTCCTGTAATAAAAGTAAAAACGTGCAGTTGAGTTGCTGAAGCAAAATGTTTAGGCAATTATCACATAGTTGGAAATCATAATAACATAATATATCATGTTATAGACCCTATGCATATATTATCATTTTGTTCATATTTAAAAAAAAAAGCTAACGTCGTTTTTGAGACAAAATTTGTAAAGAATATGTTATCCCGATCGAGGTTAGTGAGGCTATTTTGAATACGAACAAAAAATTCAAAGGTACCCATTTTTGCATAGGGTCTATATTGCTATTTATACCAAACATGAAACATTTTATGCCATAATGTTCATCAAAACAAATGAAAGGAAATATTAACAAGACTGCTGTGTAAACATTTTATGCCATAATGTTCATCAAAACAAATGAAAGGAAATATTAACAAGACTGCTGTGTAATAATATTAAGATACCTGATACGTTTCCCTCTGTCCCTTTTTCTTGTTGTCCCAATATTTCATTGCATTTGCAAATGGTTTCAGAAAGGGAAACAACATCATAAGACAGGCATAGGAGGGCAATCCAGTGTAGAAACACACGGACTTGTTGCTTTTTAGGACGTCGTCTATAAACATTTCTCTCTTCAGTTCTGGTTTATTTTCCAGTTTAGCTTTGGCTGCTTCCATGCAGTCGATATCTTCACAGGTAAGGTCGGTTTGGATACACTTGTCTGCAAGGGATCTTGGATCAGGTGTCTGTTCAGTTTTAATCTCACACTCTTCAGAAAAAATAAAATCCATGTCGCTCGAGCACGCAGTTTCCTGCAGTTGTGATGACAGGCCCAATGGTTCCGGGTTTTCCTTGTTTTTGTCAGTTTTACCTGCTTGTCTCCTTGGTGCAGTCTTGGTTTTGTTTTGTATGCAGCTCAAAGCTCCTCGTCTCCTTTCCTCTGGATCTGTTCGCTTCCGTCGGGTTTTGGGCTGCAAATGAGTCGGGAAACTGAAAATTGTTGGGACAGGATTAAGCTTTGAGGGTCCTAAACCACCTTCGAAGTGTGCTGAACAAATTCTTGTATGTCTTGTGACATTTAAACTGCTTAAACGACAAGCAGCTATCCACCTTTTTCTTCTCTCGTTTTCATTCATTCCGGGTGCGTAAGTCTTCTTTCGGTCGCCGATAGGAAAAGTGTGAAACGTTATTCCTTTGAGTTCTGGATATTTCAGATGGTTTTTTTGTTTTTCAGTGCTGTTGGAGCAGCCATATGCACAGCAGTTATGTTTAACCATGATTTTGCCGTCAAATACTGCGAACCAAAGTGACTTTCTCCGTATTTTTCCAGCTGTGTCAAAGGGTATTTTTCCCCCGCATGAGCCTCGCTTTCGCGCGAAACAAAACACTCGTCCCAGACCAGTCCGGGAATACGAATAAGGCCTATTCAAAGTCGGTAAGTCAACTTCAACGTTGGCAACACTCGATCGAGAGAGGTGCAGATTTACATGTAGATATAGGATGCTTAAAAAAAAGGAAGATATTTTACGATCGAGGTAAGCAGATACATATAAAGACCTACAGAAGATTCTGAAATTTTTGTCTAGCAGACAGCACGAACAGCGAAAAGTATTCGGGTCACGATGCATACATACATACATACATACTTTATTTGTCACGTAGGTCGATAAATGGCAGCTAAAAAGCTGATGTGGACCTACAAAACTAAAGAGTGTCTACAAAATTTAAATAATAACAATAACAAGTAGCGAAATTATGGTAAGTAAGAAAGGATGTAAGACCTAGTAATATAATATACAGTTGATTTACAGTAGTAATAAAAAGTAATAAAATAAATAAAAGTAGTAAAATAGCTTTAATATATGTAATTTACAACGTCTTTATTTAGTCCCTGTAAACCATTAAATGTTATTTTATCTAAAATGTCGGATTTTGCTTTGAGAGCAGATTTGAAAGAAACAATGTTCGGTTTGCTCTTCAAGTACACGGGTAAGTTGTTCCATAGAACAGACGCATGGTGAGAAAAAAAGAAGATCGACGGAAGTCACTTTTAGGGCGTTGCACGAATAGCTTCAGATTGTCCCTTAGATTTCTCAACGGAGAGTTTTAGTAAACAAAGAGCTTATAGCAGCCGGAGCTCTATTGTAAAATGCCTGATAGGATATAGTGGCAATCCTCTTTTTATAGAAATATGATAAGGACTTCCATTTTGTCGCTGCCAGAACTTCAGTATTGGGGTAGATTCCTTTAGGTTAAAAATAAATCTCGCGGCTCCAATGTGAATGTCTTCCAGTGTCTGAAGTGACTTAGAAGATCCCCATAATGCAATAGAATACGCAATACTTGGAATGATACCTTTGAAATAAATTGACTCTAAGAGGCGATTGTCGAGTCCTTTTTAGGTGTTTGAGTTTCTTCACTCTTGCCGAAAAACGTTTGCTCAAAGATTTTATATGTGGCGACCAAGAGAGTTTATTATCGATAAGAATCCCTAAACATGTAGCTTTGGAAACAAATGACAACTCATTTTGCCCTAAACAAATTTTCTGTAGGGGTCCGATGAATCTTGATTTTGATAACAACATTAGTTCACTTTTTGCGGGATGAATAGTCATGAAGTTATCCTTAGCCCATTTGTTTAAGTCAACGATCGCTTTCTGTATCTTAAATAAAACTTCATCAACAGTATTTCCAATGCAAAAAACAGTAGTATCATCTGCAAACATTTCAACGGAAGCGTTCGTTGTGGCTCCGGGCAGATCATTTGAGTAAATGCTGTAAAGTCTAGGACCAAGTAAAGACCCTTGGGGTACACCCGTATCTATTTCCAACAATTCTGAGTTTGAACCATTTACGGTGACAAATTGTTTACGATTATCAAGATAATTTAAGAGCCAATCGTAAAAAGAGCCACTAATACCTATAGAGTGTAATTTATCCATAAGAACTGTGTGGTTGACGCAATCAAACGCTTTCCGAAAATCAATAAAGACTACGCCAATAATATTGCTTTCATCCAAGGCAAAACGCCATCGTTCTGTAACGGAAAGTAAGAGCAGCTCGGGTGAGCTTCCTTTTCTGAAGCCCCATTGATTTAAGGAGATCAGATTGTTGCTATATAAGAAGTTATCAAGTTGTTGGCTTACAACATTCTCCAATAGCTTGCCCGGAATGCTAAGAAGGAAATAGGCCTGTAGTTTTCACAGTCGAGAGTATTCCCCTTCTTGTGAAGACATTTTACCTGTGCCTGTTTCCACTGGCTGGGAGTTTGCTTTCCAAAATACTTCTTTGAGCCAGTGGCATAAAGCAATCCAAAAATGCGTCTCCAATAAGGTACAGCTCTTTGCTGGATATGTCATCAGGTCCACTCGCCTTGCCAGGTTTCAAACACCTTAGAGAAGATTTTAAAAGGTCTCTGTTAAGGGCTATGTTATAAAAGAGAGGCACTGATTTTTCTTGCGGACTGACAAGGAGAGTTTACTGAAGAATCTTGTGTTGATTTCGAGAGGGATTTTCCAACATTGACAAAAAGGAATTTAAAGTGTTGGCCTTTGATGTATCGTCTGCGTGAATAACTCCGGAACTATCTTTAATCGGTCCGATATTTGTAGCTGTTTGTTTTCCCTCGAAAGATCTTACTGTCTTCCAAAAATCTCGAGCAGAGGTTGTCTCATTAAATTTTGTTAGCCAATAACTTGATTCCGCTAATCTAAGGAGTTTGGTGCATTTATTTCTTGCCTTCTTGTAATCTATCCAGGCTTGTGAGCCCTTCGGTGTTTTCTGTGCTTTAAGGAGTAATTTGTAGCGTTTGTTCAGCTCTTTACGTATGGAAGAGTTCATCCAGGGTAGGCCCCTCTTCTTATCTTTACTCGTCGAGCATGAAGGTGAGATTTCATAATGTCCTTGTATAAATACTCCCAAGCCCAAGTAGCATCGTCCAGATTGTGAAAGACATTGCAGATACTCCATGGGGCTGCAGCAAAGTCCGTTCTTAATGAGTCTAGATCTACTTTTTATAATCGTAGACTGTTTTGAGCGTTGGTTTCTGACGTTTTCTTTTTGAGATTTACGATTGCATATATTAAGTGGTGATCTGAGATTCCTAAATCACAAACACCCTGGTGAGAAATTTTTGAGGTGTCAGAGCAAATCACCAAATCAATCAGCGTTGTGGAGGTGTCAGTGATCCTTGTTGCCTTGTTGATGACATTCTTTAGATTAAATCTATTCAAAAGTTGACGGAATTTCCAGGTTGAAGAATCTGTGTCCCTGGATTTAGGCAAAAGATTAAAATTGAAGTCCCCCAATAAAATTATATTCGTTCGTTTCATCCATATGCGATCCAAAGTAGAAGAAAATTTATTTAAAAACGTAGTGTCATCGGGTGGGCGATACATTGAAGCAACTAGAAGTTTCTGAGACGCCACCGTAACGTCAATCCACGCAGCTTCTAGAGAGTTGTTTACATTTATGTCTCGACGCTCATATGCATCTAAGTATTCAGCAAAGTAGATGACCGTGCCACCGCCTTTTCGACCATCGTTTCGATCGCATCGAGCAGTTTTGTATCCAGTAATGGCGATTTCGTCGTCAGTAATATCCTTACCTAGATGGGATTCAGTTATGGCTAAAATGTCAAAATTCATCGAAAGTAAAAGAGCTTTAATTTCCAATAACTTGTTAGGAAGACCATTTACATTGATGTGTGAGATCTTCAAACCTGGTAGTTGCAAGTCCGCTTTGAGTGATGGATAAAGATGCGAATCAGATGAGCAACCTAGTGTTGGTAGTTGCAGGTCCACTTCGAAAGATGGATAAAGATGCGAGTCAGATGAGCAATCTAGGTTTGTCTCATTGTCGAATGGTAAAGACGACCAAAGGCAAATCGGACACCACCAGGAAAATGAAGGAAGTCTTTGATAGTTCTTATATTCGCTTGGCCTGATCGAGGCACATTTTATGTGACACCACATGTTGCAGTTATCGCAATTTACCGCTCGATGATTTCGGGCAACACGCTTGTTACACACTGAACATTCATCTGGACCAGGATTTATGTCGATGTCCCCACTTGTGTAGAGTCGCATTTGATGGAATGTTGAGTGCGAGTTCGCATAGTAACATATCCTGGTCGCATGAAAACCTCGCACATGCCACAACAGGCCAAGATGGCGGATCGTTTTCGTCTTCCGTTGATTGCAGAGGCTTGCGTATACTGATATGAGAAAACGCCTCGACCACGAGAAATTCTTCGTGATGGAGATTTTGCTATTTTCTTGAAGAGAAGGCTGTCTTTCGGCGAATTTGGTGAGCGATAAGAATAGTATTGACGCGTAAAAGCAGGAGAAAATCAGAGCACGTCCTCGCGCCATTTTCGTTCCAGCACTGTACCATGTGATGCACATGTTAGTTTTAACGGAGTTCTGCATTGAAGTGTTCGATGGCGGTAAGTGTCAGCGACAACACTATTTTACTTTATCTCTGGAATAGTAGCACAGTTTTTGAATGTAAAAGAGCTATTGGTATTTTCTCTCAAGCAAGAGGGCAGATGTTCGCGGCCGTAAAAGCCGAAGTTGTTGCACAGGGAACTTGTATGTCAACCAACACTCCGCATGTGACTTTAAAATCTCCTGAAATGAACGGTAACAAATCATAGCTTAATGAATGTTTTGTGCCGTACAAAAGCCATATTTGCAGATTTTAGTAAATCTCCAAAGTAACAAACGACAAAAGAAAGAAACACTACGATTTCCCATCAACATTTCGCTTACACGCATCTCTCTTGACGTGAAATTAATTTCCATTCCTTAAAAAAAATCTCGAAAATTGTTCATATTTCTTAGCTTTCTTAATGAACCATCATGGATAACGAGCTGTAACATATAGAGGTTTATAACATAGCTAGTAATTTTGTGTAATCAAATTCAATTGCGCGAGCGTGCTTCATTGAAGAAATGTAAAATGGTTTCCGTGTTTACATAGCCTGATGTAAACACGCGGGAGGTTGGGAGAACACGAGATAAGCGTAGGAAACCACGACGCGAAGCGGAGTGGTTTCCAGCTTATCAAAGTTATCAAACATTAGATGAATCAAATAAAAACACAGTCATTTCTTTGCCTCTTTTGATTGATAAGCCATCGATTGAATTGATTGATATTTGCATCCTATATTCATTATTGGCTTTTCATATCCTATTTCCAGCTTTGTCTCCTGCATCTAAAAGCTGATAGTAGCCACTTAGAAGCCTGCTGATACTCTACCAACAGTATAAAAAGTGCTACTTTGTTTTGCTGAGAAAGAAATGCAAAATTCCACAAAAACCCAAAAGCTACGAACATATTCAACAACGATCTATTCTTGCCCAGTAATTTGAGCAAGGATTTTTCTTTTTGCTTTTATAGAGGGAGCTGGGTTTGTGATTGATATGTGTCAATCAATGAAGTTTCAGTCAGATAGAGAATATTTAGGTCAAAATTATAAAGATACAGGATACTTGAAGAAAAATTCAATGGAATGGAAAATATTTTTAATACATGATTGCAGAATATCTAATTGGCCCTATAGGGATACAAACTGCAGGAATTAATGGAACACAGGATAGTTAGGCCAATAGTTCATAGGAAATGGGATACTCAAACTTATTTTTTCTTGGAAACCTGCAAATAATACATTCAAACCTACAACCAAACCTGTTCTAAGTAGCCTTTTTGTATTTTCCTCCAGCTGACACAAGACACAATAAAATTCCAAACACTGCAATCAACAATCCATAATGTAATTGTTGCATTTTAATTAGTTATTAAACCATTTTTTGTGTTTATAAATTGTGTGTAAACATAACCTCTCTTCTGATCAACCTACATGTATAAATAACGAATTACATGATATGCAACAAATTTGTTTGCTGATAATTTCACTGACAACCTAATTGTTTATATATTTTTTTTTCAGAATTTCAACACATTACAGAGTGTATGTATTTGAATGGATACTGGGGTGCCAGCCCAACTGCCAATCAAGTTGCATGTAGGTATACATATACATCACAAATTACAAATTTCATTCCTGTTCTAAAGATACAACTTGTCCATATATACAAATATATCTGATTGCATTGGCAAAAACATGCCCATTATGTTGCAAGATTGACATTTGAGTTCACACCCTGCCAGAGCTTAGCTAACAGGTGAACACCCTTTGGTTGGAGGCTTGTTGAACATCCAAAGCAGCAGGCTTAGCAGAGGCTGCAAAAACCTGATTTTTAGGTTTTGGTTGAAGGTGGGCATTGCCTGCCTTCAAGCCAGCCTGGTTAAAGAAAATGCAGGGGATTGAATGTTTAAGCTAATGCCCGCATGCAGCCTGGCCACCAAACAATCTAAACAATGCAAATGACTCGGTATGGAAACCTCAGGGGGTGGAGAGGATAGATTTTTGAAACCCTTTGGTAGACTGGCATTTTTCTCTGAGGCTAGAAAAGACTTGTCTTATTCCTTGTGGTTGAAAGCCTGCCTTGCAAAACTGGTAATCAGCCTTGCAACCTGTCACACTTCAACCCCTGAAGAGGGGGGCATGGGGATGTTTGGTTTTGCAGTTTCTAACTGAACCCAATGCCCTCCTCACTAAGCTAACACTCCATGGCTGGAGGGTGGTTGGGTGTCAAAAGCATGCCTTTGGAAAAGAGAGCTCAATTGACATTGCAAGGTTTAATCACTGGAAAGCTGGCATTGCCCACCTTCAAATGAGCCTGGCCAAAAAAAGTGCAGAGGGCTTTAAACATTAAGGCTAGTAACCAAATGTAACCCAACCACCAACTTTCCCGAGGGGGGGTTGCAAATGGCTTTGTGTGCAAAGTGGGTAGAGTAGGTTTTTGACTTGCAAGTTACAAGGAATTTGTTTTTTGCATAATAGTGCACATCTTGTTTTGAGTTGTTATGAGGCTGGATTTGTTTTATACTTTGTCCGTATATTCATTTCAGACTCATACTTCATGGCATCACTTCTCATGCACTTAATCATTTTGGCTAGGGGTGGGGTGGGGTTAAAAATGTTCAATTTTGAAAGTTTTTTTTCTGTGATATTCACTTTGAGTTTGTTTTTTTGGGTCTGTTTTGGTGAATTCACTCAGATATAACTAGACATATACATATACATATAGTACATAATTATACATATACATATACATATACACACCTGTTTTGAATAATGCCATTTGAAAAAAATACATGAAATATATATACCTTTTGTTTTCTCACCAAAAAGTGTCCCTTCTTCTATGTTTATGAATGAACTATGTTATAAGCCACATGAATATGGTTGTCAACTGCAACATCAGTGACCAGATATTTCTATTACTTTTGTACAGAATTTGTAACAAATATTAGTGAGATCACAAAGTGGAAATGTAACAATTGCAAGACAGAGGTAATTTGCACAAATAAATTCAAAACTTTAAAATCCTTTTTTCAACATGGGGCAACTTAGAAGAAGAGGGAAAATTCTCTAATTACATCGCAAATTAACTTTCTAATGATTAAATGCTCTATGTAACATGCCACAAATATGGTTGTCCATTTTATTATTACTCACTGCATATTTCTCACATTTTGTTACAAAATATGTTGTAAGTTATATGCAGGAAAATAACAATCTTGGTTTGTTGGAGAATTTTGTATTTGATCAACAAATTGTGCTGTAATTGATGTTTTATTTGATTTCCTTAATCATCTTTTTGATATTGAATTGATATCACTGACTACTACTTTTTTACAGAATTTGCTGCAAATGCTGTAGCAAAAATGAACACCAAACAGCTAGCTGATAGGAACAGAGGTAATGCACCAATAAATTCAAACTTGTAAACCCCCCTTTCAACCTGGGGCAACTCAGAAAAAAAGTTCTGAAAAGTTTAGCATAATGATTAAAACCTTAGTGAAGATGGAAAGTCATTTATACCTAAAATATGAACCACAACTGCTAAAACCCACTAACTACTGCTAGCACAAACAATTATTGTATTATTTTGTTCATAAATTCACTTGTCATTCTCATGAACCCAAATCACCTGTGTTGTTGCATCAAACAATTAAAAATGAAGAAATGTAAAATGGTTTCTGTGTTTACATAGCCTGATGTAAACATGCAGGAGGTTGGGAGAACACGAGATAAGTGTAGGAAACCACAACATGAAGTGGAGTGGTTTCCAGCTTATCAAATGTTCTCCCAACTTCCCTAGTGTTTACATCAGGCTATGTAAACACGGAAACCATTTTACATTTCTTTTATAAAATAACTAATGAAAGAGCCTCTCTTGCAACGAAGGAAAGCGACATGCTTGTTGTTGTTGTTCATTTGGCTTTTTTGGCCATTTCTTGAATACTGGGAAAATTAAACTCCAAAGAAAAATTAGGAAAATCTTCTTCTTCTATTACTGTACTCAAAAGAAACTTAAAGAAACTGAGTTACTGCTAAATAAATAGCATGGAGAACTCCGCAAGTAGATTCAGTATGAAAACCGTGTTTACATAGGCTCATGTAAAATGGTTTTATGGCCAATCAGAGCGCGTGTACTATTTGAATTATTTTATAATGTTAACTATAAATCACTGGTACAGCGAAACAGAAAAATAGCACTATCTATCAATTGCCTTTTACAAAAATTAATTATTAAATCCAACACTTTGAGTGGGGACTTTGAACAACACTTTGGCCCCAGGAACAAACTAATCTTCAAAACTTCAAGTACAATACAATACAATACAATATTTATTTGCCATATACGACATTTACACATGGAAAAAAAAAAATGAAGAAAATTGATGACAGAAAATAAATGGCGAGAAAACCTGAAAGAAACCACGAGGCTTATAACAAGTCAGGCTTTCTCACTTAAAATAACTAATCTTATATTAGAATTACAATATGGACTTATGGTAATTAACTTTGACCGCGCACACGTACACACACACACACACGCACACACATATTAACTAAGTTAGTTAAGAATTACTGCCTTACAGAAGCTAATACTTAGAGAGAAGAAATTCCTTAAGCTTTCTTTTAAAAGAAGCGGAGGAGGGAGAACTAGTT